GCAGAACATCAGACATCATCAAAAGTTCAAAACTAAATGAAAATAATCCTCAAAAAGAGGAAAACTACCAGAGATGGTGTTTTTGCAGTATCAGAGGCGCGTGGCGCAGTGGGTTGTGCGTTGGGGTTCGGATCAGGGGGTTCAAACCCCTCTGCAGTCAGCATGTCGTTGTGTCCCTGAGACGCTTCACCCCAAAGTGCTCCTGTGGGGATTGCCCACAGTGTTGAGTATGTTTGGATAAAAGCGTCTAACAAGTGACATGTGATGCAATCATTAGAATATCAACCAATCAAACCACTTTGTCTTCTTATATTTAAAGTGTGCATCCTTCTATCGGTCCTTAGCATGCTCTGAATAAAGCGTGATTGTGTTCGTAACGCATTTTAAGAGCTACTTAAGAAATACTTAGAGAACATTTTTAAAGCTTTTTACTGCTTTAATTTGAAATACTGCACTGGCGACATGTTACCACTAGAGGTCATTGCCTGCATCAATGGAGGATATTTCTCTTCTTTTTCTATTTTTGTATACTTTATATTATTTTGGTATTAGTATTATTATTACAGCCTTTTATGCAAACTGAAACCCAATGAATGAGGTGTTCCTAACCTCCTCCTGCTGTTCCTCAGATGAGTCCTAGTTCCACCTGTCAGAGGGCGTGTGTGCGTGTGTGTGTGTGTGTACGCGCGTGTGTGCGTGTGTGTGTGTGTGTGCGCGTGTGTGTGTGTGTGTGTTATTCATTAGACAGACAGGCAGCGCAGGTTGAACAGCCTCAGAGCAGACACTCAACCAACTTGACACTTGTTCTACCGACTGCACTGCGATGACTCTTTATTAATATCTCATTAATACTCAGAGGATCATAAGCTGTGGGTCTGAGGACACACACACACACACACACCGGGACAGCTTCAGCAACACACACACACTCACATGGAGATTGAAAGCATGGTGGCAAACAGCGCGCTCATTAAAGCCAGAGAAGGTAAGTCACTGCTTCAGGAACCAAATGGAGCACTTTGACATGTTCTCTTGCTTCCTTATCATGCTACATCTTATTGTGTAACTTTGCACCTAATCGGGATAATTACCTCTTTCTATATTATTACATTCTGCTATTTCTTATTTTTGCCCCTAATTATGTACTTTTTGGACTTTAATACACACTCATATTTTATTTAATCTGAACACTAACTTGTATGATGCTACTTGTTATTTGTCATCATGGTTGTGTACTTTTGCAATTATTTAATAAGGGTTTTCCACTTTATTTCACATTTTTAATGCCAAATCTAGTGTTTTGCTCTAATGATGTACTTATTAAAAGTGCATTTCCTCTTTTTACTTAATTTTTTAATGCTATATTACTTTTTTCCGGATAATTATTCCAATTGTTTTTTTTACCAAATATTGCAAATGTTTCTTCTCCACATTGCTCTGCCTGAGAGAGGAGGCGAACTACGAGTGATCTCATGCATCTCCAAGGCTCTCTTGTTTGATTATTTTTGTTGTTATTATATATTTATTTATTTGTATGTATAATACTATTAACTGATTTTTATTGTACTATTATTATTTAAAAAATACACATTATTATTATTATTTTAAAGTGCAAGTACAGTAGTTACTTTCCTAACCCCTTATCTCCTCATCCAAATCATTACTTAAAAACGGAAGTTGGAGAAGTACTTAGATCTTGTTCTTGAGTAAAAGTAGAAGTACTCAGATCTTGTACTTGAGTAAAAGTAGAAGTACTCAGATCTTGTACTTGAGTAAAAGTAGAAGTACTCAGATCTTGTACTTGAGTAAAAGTAGAAGTACTCAGATCTTGTACTTGAGTAAAAGTAGAAGTACTCAGATCTTGTACTTGAGTAAAAGTAGAAGTACTCAGATCTTGTACTTGAGTAAAAGTAGAAGTACTCAGATCTTGTACTTGAGTAAAAGTAGAAGTACTCAGATCTTGTACTTGAGTAAAAGTAGAAGGACTCAGATCTTGTACTTGAGTAAAAGTGGAAGGACTCAGATCTTGTACTTGAGTAAAAGTGGAAGGACTCAGATCTTGTACTTGAGTAAAAGTAGAAGTACTCAGATCTTGTACTTGAGTAAAAGTAGAAGTACTCAGATCTTGCGCTTGAGTAAAAGTAGAAGTACTCAGATCTTGCACTTGAGTAAAAGTAGAAGTACTCAGATCTTGTACTTGAGTAAAAGTAGAAGTACTCAGACCTTGTACTTGAGTAAAAGTAGAAGTACTCAGGTCTTGTACTTGAGTAAAAGTAGAAGTACTCAGATCTTGCACTTGAGTAAAAGTAGAAGTACTCAGATCTTGTACTTGAGTAAAAGTAGAAGTACTCAGGTCTTGTACTTGAGTAAAAGTAGAAGTACTCAGATCTTGCACTTGAGTAAAAGTAGAAGTACTCAGACCTTGTACTTGAGTAAAAGTAGAAGTACTCAGGTCTTGTACTTGAGTAAAAGTAGAAGTACTCAGGTCTTGTACTTGAGTAAAAGTAGAAGGACTCAGATCTTGTACTTGAGTAAAAGTAGAAGTACTCAGATCTTGCACTTGAGTAAAAGTAGAAGTACTCAGATCATATACTTGAGTAAAAGTAGAAGTACTCAGATCTTGTTCTTGAGTAAAAGTAGAAGTACTCAGATCTTGTAGTTGAGTAAAAGTAGAAGGACTCAGATCTTGTACTTGAGTAAAAGTAGAAGTACTCAGATCTTGCACTTGAGTAAAAGCAGAAGTACTCAGATCTTGCACTTGAGTAAAAGTAGAAGTACTCAGGTCTTGTACTTGAGTAAAAGTAGAAGTACTCAGATCTTGTACTTGAGTAAAAGTAGAAGTACTCAGGTCTTGTACTTGAGTAAAAGTAGAAGTACTCAGACCTTGTACTTGAGTAAAAGTAGAAGTACTCAGATCTTGTACTTGAGTAAAAGTAGAAGTACTCAGATCTTGCACTTGAGTAAAAGTAGAAGTACTCAGACCTTGCACTTGAGTACAAGTAGAAGTACTCAGACCTTGTACTTGAGTAAAAGTAGAAGTACTCAGGTCTTGTACTTTAGTAAAAGTAGAAGTACTCAGACCTTGTACTTGAGTAAAAGTAGAAGTACTCAGATCTTGTACTTGAGTAAAAGTAGAAGTACTCAGATCTTGTACTTTAGTAAAAGTAGAAGTACTCAGGTCTTGTACTTGAGTAAAAGTAGAAGTACTCAGATCTTGTACTTTAGTAAAAGTAGAAGTACTCAGATCTTGTACTTTAGTAAAAGTAGAAGTACTCAGGTCTTGTACTTGAGTAAAAGTAGAAGTACTCAGGTCTTGTACTTGAGTAAAAGTAGAAGTACTCAGATCTTGTACTTTAGTAAAGTAGAAGTACTCAGGTCTTGTACTTGAGTAAAAGTAGAAGTACTCAGATCTTGTACTTAGTAAAAGTAGAAGTACTCAGGTCTTGTACTTGAGTAAAAGTAGAAGTACTCAGATCTTGCACTTGAGTAAAAGTAGAAGTACTCAGGTCTTGTACTTGAGTAAAAGTAGAAGTACTCAGATCTTGTACTTGAGTAAAAGTAGAAGTACTCAGATCTTGTACCTGAGGTGAGACGCGCTGATCTTCAGAGTAATGCTGTCCTTCAGGCTCCGCTCTATAAATACTTCCCTCTCAGTGAAACCAGACGGGCTGCATGTACCTGTCTCTCAAAGTGAGACGTGTCACTCTGCTCAGGTGTTTCTTTACAGCATGAAGCTGGAATAGCATCACATGTAATACTTAATGTGTATTTACTAAGTATGTTGCATGCAGTGGTTGAATGTAACATTTACTTATGTATTGTGCATCCTTCTTGGGGTTTATGGGTCAAAACGCTTTTGAAACGTTATTAAGAGGAAGAATGTGGAGCAATCGTTGTATACTTTGTGTACTACTGAGTATATTAGCAGTATATAAACACAACATACAGTATATGCAGTACAATAACAAGTATTTTACTTAATCTTTTCTGTTACAAAATACTCTACATCAGGGGAAACTATTATACTATATTTGCACTACCTTTATGTTACATAATTAACATGTTTTGTTTACATGATATAAAAACTGCTAATTTCTTAATTAGTACACAAAGTGAAGAACGTTTGCTCCACCTTCTTCTACTTATTTGTCATTTCTAATGATAAAATACACACAATTCAGTGCAATATAGTATTTAATATAACTACAAAATGACCCTACAAGAAATTCTGACTGGATTGTTGCTTTTTGGGGCTTTTATTTTGAAAAACAAAACTCAACCTGATCTTCCTGTAAGGATAGAGATACTTCTGGGGCTTTTATTTTGAAAAACAAAACTCAACCTGATCTTCCTGTAAGGATAGAGATACTTCTGGGGCTTTTATTTTGAAAAACATGCATCCTCCTGTGCTTCCTGTAAGGATAGAGATACTCCTGAGGGCTTTTATTTTGAAAAACAAGCATCCTCCTGTGCTTCCTGTAAGGATAGATACTTCTGGGGCTTTTATTTTGAAAAACATGCATCCTCCTGTGCTTCCTGTAAGGATATTTGTACTCTATGCAGCTTTTATTTTGAAAAGAAAAGCCTAATCCTGAGTTTACTGTTTGGATACAATGATTATCTGGGGCTTTTATTTTGAAAAACTTGCATCCATGTGCTCACTGTAAGTATATGGTTACTCAATGGGGCTTAAAGTATTTAAAATAACACTTTTATCGAAGCCTTTTGGAGTTAAAATACTTCTTAACTTCGACTTAAGTGGGATTTCACACTCAGGCTGTTAATAGAGTATTTTTAGACTGTGGTAAAGACTGAGTACTTTTTCCACCTCTTGTTGAAGTGTTGGAGGATCCTTGGACTTCAAGTGTTCTTTGTAGTGTGTTGATGACGGTAACATGATGTCTCTGCAGGAGGGAGTCGAGGCCGGAGCTACAAATGGAAAGAGATGCTGCGCTTAAATCACATCAGCCAGTGCATGGACCAGGCCTCCAGCATAGGTG